CCCACCAATCAATCAATCAATCAATCAACTAATCCAAAAAAAAGTAAAAACAAAAAACAAGAAAAGCGGGTTTTCCCGTTTTTGTTTTTGACTTTTTTTTTTCCTCTTTTGATTGATTGATTGATTGATTGATTGATTGGTGGGGGATGGGTCGCCCCCCCAACCCCCACCCAATCACACACACACACACACACTTGCAGGGGGTTTCGAAGAGTTTTTTTTTTTCTTTTTCTTTTTTCTGTTTTTATTTTTTGTTACGCAATCGAAAACAATAATGGCCCCCATATATATATATTTTTTTTCATGCATTAAAAAAAAAAAAAAAATCCTGCACGCAACTCGGCTGGTCGGCCTAGGCCGAACCGAGCCGAGGTGCGGCCGATTCGGATCCCCCGGCCGCGGCCGGGCGTGCAACATAGCTGCATAGGATGGGGGGCATGGGGGAGGCGGGAGGGCAGACCATACACAAGCAGACGAAAGGAGGCAGGGGGGCAGAGCACATACAAGCACACCGAACAGCCGAACCGGAAAAATAGATTCAAGTCCAAAAAAAATGCAAAGACCAAAAAAAAAAAAAAAAAAGAAAAGCTGATGACAGAGTGTTTCGTCGGAGTTGCACCGACTTATCAGGATGCTTAACCCTCCGAGTCGACAATCTGCGGAATCCCCGTTTTGATGGTTTGGGTCATGAACCCTTTGACCCTTGCTGAAGGCAGACTTTCCCCAAGCGGAACACAGCAGCAGGCAACAACTCCGCGAAGCACCACGCAACGCTGCCGCAGCAACCTAACTGCACAACGCCAAATTAAACGACTAACTGCATGTAGCAGCTGCAAAGAGCAACATGTGGATCAAGCAGGGCGGGCAGCAAGGCAACAGTGGAGCGCAGACGAGGCAGACTTCACATCCCACAAACCACGGAGCAAGTGACACCATGAAGTCGATCACTCAGACTGTTGGTTCCCACACAACGCTGCCGGAGCAACCCAACTGCACGTCCGCTTGGCCTGTCATTTCATGAACCCTTTGACCCAAGCGGAACACAGCCGGCGGACTTTCCCCAAGCGGTGAAGGCAGACTTTCCCCAAGCGGAACACAGCCGGCGACAACTCAGCGAAGCACCAGGCAACGCTGCCGGACCAACCCAACTGCACAACACCAGAAACAACTGCATGGAATGACAGGCCAAGTGGACGAGCAACACAGCAACGTTGCAGCGATGCACAAGGCAACACCAACACAGCAGCCACACCATGCATCCCTGCACCACCAACACAGCAGCCACACCACACGGCACAAAAGCAAAGAACACGGAAGGTAAGGCACACGGATGGGAAGCGAGGCAGAGCGCAGCGCAGCATAGGGCAACCACACCAACATGGCGGCCACACCACACAGTGAACACAGCAGCTTGCAAAGGATGACATGTGACGTGAGCAGCACGGGCCACAAGGTGGCGCAGAGCGAAGACAAGGCAGTCTACACATCCAACACAGCAAAGCGGCACGTCACCTACTCACATCACGGGTAAACTCCACAGACTGTTGGTTCCTACCACCCACTGAGCTAGGGAGCCAACAAACACCCATCATCTATGAATCCCCCCCAGAGGCGGCCTTGCGCGGCCTAGGCTGCGACCCCGCGACCATGGAAAAAAAAAACAAAAAAAAATTCAAAAACTTCTGGGAAAAAAAAGGCTTATGCAGAAAAATATACTGAACAGCGTTTGCCTTGTGGTCATATCCAAAAACTTTACTGAATTTAAAATAAAAAAACACAAAAAAGTTTCATAGTTTTTCTTAACAACAAAAAAAAAAAAACGGCTTTTGCCTCAGGAAAATTAGTTTTTGAATTTTTAAAATTCAAAGACGAAGTCTAAAAATAAAATTAAAAAATGCGCAATTTAGATCTCGAAAAGATCTACAACACCATATATATATATTTTTTTTTTTGAGAATTGTTTTAAGTCTAAAACAGTTCCTGAAAGTTGCGGCCGCACCCAACCGCGGCCAGAGCCGCGGCGGCCGTGATCACGGCCGCCCTCCGAGTTTTACCCTGCGGCTGCGGCCGTGGGTGATACATAGCCCGGCATCACTCGTAAGGCAGACGGACATCACGAACTGACAAGCCCTGCTAAGAATGCTGCAGGCACTCCAAACAAGGAATGATGGACTATTTGGCACTGCTTAAAGGTGCTCAGTTGGGCAGACAAAAAATACTCAGAAAACAAGCAGAGAAAGAACAAACAACAAAGAAAGACAGACAGACTGTCACAGACATAAAAATGATTGTGTGTGTGTGTGTGTGTGTGCGTGTGCACGTGCGCATGGGGAAGAGAGAGAGAGAGAGAGAGAGAGAGAGAGAGAGAGAGAGAGAGAGAGAGAGAGAGAGAGAGAGAGAGAGAGAGAGGGCGAGGGAGTTGAGGTACTGGCCCATGCTTCGAATCCTGGTGATCGACTAGGTGAAACAATGAAACGTCATTTTGAAAAAAATAACACGTAAACGAAGAGGGC